CTTTGCATTTAAATGTGGATGGAGATATTTTTTAATCCTCCAGAAAGCCTGGAGAACTATTGCTCAAGAATGTTTGGAAAATCACAAGACAGCCTATACCCCTGGAGGGAATATAAGAAAATATAAAGTAATGACAGATCACTTAAGCGTTTTGTACTATATGGAACTAATCTAGCTGATGTGTTCCCAAAGAGTGACTTGTACTGAGTAAAAAATCAGTATGCTCCACAAGCCCGTGTAATCTGCCTTATTAACATTTTTCAGATGCAAGTTTATTGCACATTTATTTATTTTGACATCATTCAATTAAACCTCAAAAAGGGATCAAAAGACTGTGGAAAATAGATACAGATACAGCTCAGTGCACGTGAAGGCACCAACGAGAGCTAGTTGATTTTGCACAGTTGTCAAGCAAAGCAGCACAGCACCAAATTTAAACTTTGGATCTTTATAGTTGCCCTAAAGGTGTTTTATTGATCAAAACGTTTGTACTTGTCTTTAAACAAGTTAATTTTATACCCTAAGTGGGACATTTTTAACATGGGAGTATCTTCTGTGGTCTAATGAGGCACACAGATCTGTTGGTTGTGCAATAAATACACAAAGACATACCAAGAAATGAGAAGAAAAGAAGCTTTTATTTCAACAGTGTTATGTTACTGTATATGTTTTTAGGACCAGATGACAGGAGTTTGATTTCATCATGCTAAAACATGAAGTGTCTAGGATGCAGCTGTAAATACAGGATTTACAACAGGAACTATATTTTCTTTATATTCCAACAAATAAGCTGGTAACTTAATATGTTCATAGAAGTGCTACACTTGCAATAAATTATAATTTAAATGTGCAGCCAGTAATTTTTTTTATTTTACTTTAATAGAAAAGGATTCTGTATTCATAAATATACATAAAATACTGTGAAGTTACAAATTCCAACCAACCGATGCATTCTGCAAAAACTTAAAACGAATGTATTAAATATATATAGGAGCGATTCTACAATTTGTGTAGATTGCTATGCTCCTCCGATATATTTAAATACAGTAACTGGGAAGGACATTTCCCCTCCACCTAATCACACTTTCACATTTTATATGGAGGTACGTTTAAATCTAGAAGTCCAAAGTGAATGTTACTGACTGGCCTGCACAAAACCCTGACTTAAATCCCACTGACAATCTGTGGGGTAAACTAAGACCAAGATCAGAGCCAGAAGACCATCAAGTCTGGGGAGCTTGGGAGGTTTGCCAGAGAAAAATGGGCTGGGATTGTTGAGCAGACGTGTGTGAGACTTGTAGAAAACTACAACAAATTACTTCAGGAGGTCAGGTGGGGGGTTCATAATTTTAACCATGGTTTTTGGTTTTTGTGAAAAACTGTAACTCTGTGTACAAAGTAAAATAATGTAACCATCTAAAAAAATATATAAAAAACTAGGGTGTTTGGAAAAACTGTGCTACTTAATTCTGAATTATTATTAATATTAGTATTAGTAGTAGCAGTAGTCGTAGAATTTCAAAAGTAAGCTCAAACAAACAGACAGACATTAACATCTTGCGTTTTTAACAGCGAGGATAACAGAACTTCCTGTAACCATCCAAACAACCAGTGAAGAGCATTTATGATACATTAAAATGTAAAAGTATTTGAATTCACAACAACCACTCAAGGCTGATGTTCATGCTGTGTGTTTGAGATATTTATG